TAATATCCACTCCAAAGTAATTATTGAAGGTGATTCAACGAATGTTAAATGGTGCACCACACCGGAATTTTGCTTCTTGTAATATTTCATTACCTTAATGAATAGATACTGCTTACTTTTCTCAAAAAAAAGTAAAAAAGAATACATCTCCAAAATTTGGGATCTAGAAATTATTTTTAGGAAGAATTTATGTGAGGAAGTAAATGGATAATATACTCCTATGGAAGTAGGAAATCTTTTGGCCTTTAGTATTCATGAACGAATATTTTGAAAAATATAATTTGGATTTTGAGTTATTGAACACTTAGATTTGACTGCGTTAAGATCGGACATGCTCTGTTCATTTTTAAGATGTTACCATTTTCAAGCACATATAAATAAAACGTTTATATAAGGTTGCAACCTTAGTTAAAATGTAAAATTAAGATATACTTTTTAAATCCATCATAAAATGCTTTTCTAAAGTTGGAAAACCCTCTAAGTGATAATCTTGACATAGAGATGTATGAATATGAAAAAAAATGTAAATTCCAAAAATAGTGCATCTTGCAACATATTATCTGGAGCGTCCATTTTCAAGATTTTAATGTGTTTATAGATTTGCTTGATTTGAACTATTTTTGGAATTTAAATTTTATAATTAGAAAAAAATAGATTCTCACACCATCATAAGATTTTTCGACACCAAAATTGTATTTCATAATAAAGTTTGGAGGCGCACCCTACTTTGATTGTTTAAGGTTGCATCCTTATGCAAACAACATAATTTTAATTTTTTTTCTTTTCTTATCAGACTGACGGTTTCTGTTCAATCTTTAGATGTTACTATTTTCAGGCACATATAAATTAATGTATAATTTTATTTTTCTCTTTTCCTTTTAGGTTGCTCGCTAGGTTTAAGAAGCTACATCCCCAATATTTGAGATACTAAAAATATCATCATCAAATAGAGTTTTAACCGACGGTTTCCCGGCCGAAGCATACAATTTTATGGCTTCATTTAATCTCTCTCTAAACTGAGTCTCTCTAGAAACCAATCTCTTTCTTTTTCTAAAAATCCATTCTCTCTTTCTCTCTCTAAAAACTTATTCTTTTTCTTAAAAACTCATTTCTCTTTCTTTCTCTAAAACCTACTTTCTCTCTAGAAAACTAATCTCCCTCTAAAAATAAAATTCTCTCTCTAGAAACTTAATATCTCTTTCTCTCTCTAAAACCCATTCTCTCGTTTTAGAAATCCAATATATATTTCTCTCTCTAAAAACACATTTTTTCTAGAAACCCAATCTCTCTCTAAAACCAATTCTATCTAGAAACCCATCTCTCTCTAAACCCAATATTTATTTCTCTCTAAAACTCATTCTCTTTCTAAAAACCCAATATCTATTTTTTTTTCTAAAAACTCATTCTCTCTCTAAAAATCCAATATCTCTTTCTCTTTCTAAAAACTCATTCTCTCTCTCTCTACTAAAAAACCAATCTCTCTTCCACTCTCTAAAAACTATTATCTCTCTCTAAATACCCAATATCCCTTTCTCTTCTAAAAACCCTTTCTCTCTCTAGAAGCCCAATATCCCTTTCTCTTTTTTAAAACCCATTCTCTCTTTCTCTCTCTAAAAAACCAATCTCTCTTTCTCTCTTTGGACACCTAATATCTCTCACTAAAAACACATTCTCGTGCTCTAGAAATCCAATCTCTTTTTCTCTCTCTAACATCCTTTCTCTAGAAACTCAATATCTCTTTCTCTATCTTAATCCCATTATCTCTTTCTCTTGCTAAAAATTCATTCTCTCTTTAAAAATCCAACCTATCTTTTTCTCTAAAAACCCATTCTCTCTCTAGAAACCTAATCTCTATTTTTCTATCTAACAATCCATTCTCTTTCTAGAAACCAATATCTTTCTAAAAACTCATTCTCTATCTAGAAACCCAATTACTCGTACTTTCTCTAACCCATTCTCTCTCTAGAAACCCAATCTATCGTTCTCTCTCTAAAAACCCAATCTCTCTCTCTAGAAACCCAATCTCTCTTTCTCTATCTAAAAACCTTCTCTCTTGAAACCGATTCTCTCTTCCTCTCTCTAGAAATCCAAGCTCTCTTTTTCTCTCTCTGAAAACCCAATCTCTCTTTATCTATCTGGAAATCAATCTCTTTCTCTCTAAAAACCCAATCGCTCTTTCTCTCTAGAAATCAATATCTTTCTCTCTCTTAGAAGTCAATCTCTCCTCACACTCTAAAAACTCATTATCTCTCTAGAAATCAATCTCTTTCTCTCTCTAAAATCTCAATATCTCTTTCTCTCTCTAAAAACCCGATATCTCTTTCTCTCTTTAGAAACCCAGCATTTTTTAAATTTTCTAAATAATACGTTTCTTAATATAACAAGAAAAGTTTGCAGAATGAAATAAAAAAATAAATAAATGGGGGAAGGGACTTCTTGATGGGCTGGGCGGGCCCATGCCCAATATATTCTTTTCGGGTTGGGTGGGCCAGGTTTTGATAGTACATATTGGGGGTAGCACGGGATTTTAAGTACACTTTTCAAGCCAGGCCTTATCGGGCTGGGCCAATGTATTTTCGAGTTTTGTCGAGCCTTGGGCAAGCCTCGCCTGATGGCAGCCTTACTTACACCCGTGGCCCCAATTATTTTAAAAGAAATTGGAATCATATCAACGTAGGTGATTCCAATTTCTTTAAATTTAGACACTTTTTGTGGAAAATAATTTCATAGGTAAAAAAGATTTCTTACTCTTGTGATGAACCAAACATGAGAAATTAGTTATTTTCTAAGAAATCATTTTCATACGAACCAAACGTGCCCCTAGAGAAAATATTTTCTTATGAAACATTTTCATATGGAAAGCATTTTCATGTAAAAACATTTTCTAAAAAATACTTTCATATAAAAGCATTTTCATGTGAAAACATTTTCATATGGAAATATTTTCATGTGAAAACATTTTCTGAAAACATTTTCATATGAGAAAACATTTTCGTATGAAAATATTTTCTAGAAAATATTTCATGTGACAATATTTTCATATGAAAATATTTTCTAGAAAACATTTTAAAATTTTATAGAACACATTTTCCTAGAAAATATTTTTCTAGAAACATTTTCTAGAGAAAACATTTTCATATGAACATTTTCATCATGTGAAAACATTTTAACATTTTCTAGAAAACATTTTCATATGAAAACATTTTTTAGAAAATATTTTTTAGAGAACTTTTTCATATGAAAAACAAGAATAATGATCCTATAGGACCCTCCCCCACCCATGTATGTAGGACCCTAAAGGATCACCATTAAATTTGGTATGGATCACTAAAAAAGTTATCACATGGGTGTGGGACTTGATTTTTTTAAAAATTTGTGTCAAATTTAATTGTAATCCTTTGAAGTTCTACACATATGGGTGAAGGAAGGTCCTATGAGATCATTTCTCGAAAAACAATATGAAAACATTTTTTAGAAAATATTTTTCTAGAAAACATTTTCTAGAAAAAGTATTTCCATGTGAAAATGTTAGGTGAAAATATTTTCTAGAAAACATTTTTTATGTAAAATTAGTGCACATTTAACTCTTAAGTTTTTTTTATGTAAAAATAGTGTTCACATTTTTTTAATTTCTTTTTAACACTTTTTTGGTCTCCCGAGACTTGCCTGATTAGAGCGGTTTAATTGGCCGGTTTACTGGTTATCGGTTAAACCGCTTCCAAGCCCATGTCCGATTAGTTGTTCCAGTTTGATTTTGCGAACACTGCTTGGAGATGAGATGAATTTGACAAAATCACCCAACAAAAAATTGAAATTGACAGTGTTAAAATTATGTCAATTTTTTTTTTTTTTTTTTTTTTCAGGTTCTTATGATGGTTGAGATTTTCATTCCCTCAAATGTTGAATCCAAAATCCATCTACAAAATAGATTTTGGAAAGAGGATTCATTTAAATAGGTGAGTCAGCCGCCTCATAGAAACCTTGTGCTTTTCTATTTATGGCAGAGTCTTTTTCCAATAACCATTATAGACCAAAAAAAAAAAAACCAAACTAATTCTCTGCTATCAAGGGAAATGGAAATTTCAAAATATTTGATGAGATCTTCAAATTCGTCAGAGATGATTGACATAATTATACTGAGTAAACCAACTACTCCAGCATCCAAATCATGGGGCAAATTTCCAGGCAAAGGTCAGCCCAAAGTTTCATAAATTTAAGTCCAACAAATGAAGAGCCAAAATTCATCACATATCTTCTGATCCATGCAAAAAACTTATCCCATATTCAATTTTGGCCATCTTTTGATCGATCTCTCTCTCTCTC